GCTCTGCAATACATCACAGACATGGATTCATCATGTGTTATTACTCACTGGGATTAATCCCATAATATCCACTTCTCTTGATAGTGTTACTGCTCGTCTCTCTGAGCTTCAGTCACTTCAAGCTGTAAACCACATCTTGTGCTTCTGAACCATGAGCTCTCTGTATTGTTCACAGCTACTGTTCATATTTAAAGCTGATATAAGAATCACTCAATGAAAACAATGAAACATACAACAAGATAGAAAAACACATTTCTAAATGATTTTGATCCAGATTTTTATACCTTGAAGAATTATTATGGACAGATTTTCGTTATTTGAACAGAAAAACAAAGAGAAAGTGTTTGTTTGTGACTGTTCACCTCTCTATCACGTTGATTGAACGTCATAAAGAAAGCCCTGCTGTGATTGGTGCTCATCGCTCCTCTCCTCCAGGTGGAGGCGCTGTAGGACAAACAAACACAACTGGTTTCTGAATGTTTTCATGGGAACTAGAATATAAAGAAGCAGTGATGACGCTGCTGTACCATGTAAACACCTTGTTGTTGTATCAGCTGTTTGTAAAAAGACTGGGTCCCGCTGTGTTACTCTGCTGCACTACAGCGTCTATTCACACTACTGAGCGGCACGTGGGCTTTGACCTGCTCCGTCTCCGACCTTGGCCTGTGCACCCCTCCTTAGACGACCTGGTGGTCCCGGGCTCCCCCAAGAGCACCATACCGATACCGAACTTAGTGCGGACACTGGATCTTCATTGTCCGCTGCAGGTCAGAGCTCCTGAGCTCAAACGATCCCTCAGCCTCCCGGTAACTGGGATTATAGGCGCGCGCAACCGCACCCGGCGAGAGAGCTGTTCATCCAGAGAGGTTTGGGTTTTTACAAACGTGACGTCATTAGGGTAATCAATCGGAATCTCATGATGAAAACAAAAGCAGCAGCTGCAACGTTGAAGGCTGATCAGTATTTAAGTACAATTGACCTAAAACCTTATTTCAATAAAGATCACTACTTTATCTCGTATCTTTAAACATCTGTGTGCTCAGTATGAGTTTATCATCCACAGTCATGCACAGTTCATAATGTCAGCAGATTGCATGATACAATAACTTGTATTCATTACATTACATTACATTACAGTCATTTAGCAGATGCTTTTATCCAAAGCGACTTACAATAAGTGTATTCAACATCGGTTTTCGAGAGAACAACTAGTCACCAGAAGTAATAAGTGCATGTCCTTTCCTCAAACAAGCATCTAAGAGCATAAACCAGAGCCAACATACAGTGCAGAAACAAACGAATGCAATAAGTGCCACAAACTAATATAAAAACAATAAGTGCAATAAGCTAGTATGAATACAATAGATGCTAAGTAAGTGCTAAGCGGAAGGGTAGGCCTTCTTGAAGAGGTGAGTTTTCAGCCTGCGCCGAAAGATGGGCAGCGACTCTGCCGTCCTGACGTCAGTGGGGAGTTCATTCCACCACTGTGGGGCCAGGACAGAAAACAGCTGCGACCGGGTCGATCGGCCGCAGGGACCTCTGAGCGACAGGGCAACCAGTCGCCCTGAGGTAGCGAAGTGGTCGGGCCGGGGTGTAGGGCTTGACCATGGCCTGGAGATAGGAAGGAGCTGTTCCTTTCACTGCCCTGTAGGCTAGCACCAGAGTCTTAAACTGGATGCGAGTTCTTACAGGGAGCCAGTGTAGAGAACGGAGAAGACAAGTTGTGTGGGAGAACTTGGGGCGATTGAACACCAGGCGAGCTGCAGCTTTCTGGAGAAGCTCCAGAGGTCTGATGGCCGACGCCGGGGCTCCGGCAAGTAGTGAGTTGCAGTAGTCCAGGCGGGAGATGACAAGAGCCTGGATTAGCACCTGCGCCGTCTCATCAGTGAGGAAGGGGCAAATCCTCCTGATGTTGTAGAGCAGGAATCTGCAGGAGCGTGTAACCGATGCAATGTTTGCTGAGAACGACAGTTGGTCATCCAGGGTCACACCCAGGTTCCTCGCAGTCCGAGTTGGCGTCACCACGGTATCATCAATGGTAATGGACAGGTCTCGGTGCGGGCAACCCTTCCCCGGGAGGAACAGTAGCTCGGTTTTGTCCAGGTTGAGCTTGAGGTGGTGTGTCGTCATCCACTTCGAGATGTCAGCCAAGCACGCAGCGATGCGTGCCTCCACTTGAGTGTCCCCGGGGGGAAATGACAAGACCAGCTGGGTGTCATCGGCATAACAATGGTAGGAGAAGTCATGCGAGCGAATAACAGAACCCAGAGATGTTGTGTAGACCGAGAACAGAAGGGGGCCCAGGACTGAGCCTTGTGGAACCCCCGTAGTCAGCATGCGTGGTTCCGACACAGAGCCCCTCCATGACACCTGGTAGGATCGACCTGTCAGGTAGGATACAAACAGGAAGAGTGCAGAGCCTGAAACGCCCATCCCCTCGAGGGTGGAGAGGAGGATCTGGTGGTTAACAGTGTCAAATGCCGCAGACAGGTCCAGGAGAATCAGGACAGAGGAGAGAGAGTTAGATGTCGCTGTGTGAAGCGACTCCGTCACCGCAAGGAGAGCTGTCTCAGTCGAGTGACCCACTTTGAACCCGGACTGGTGAGGGTCCAAGAGGTTGTTTTGGTGGAGATAGGAGGATAGTTGAGTAAAGACAGCACGTTCAAGTGTTTTGGAAAGAAAGGGTAGAAGAGACACCGGTCTGAAGTTCTTGACATCAGAGGGGTCAAGTGATGGTTTCTTCAGAAGGGGGGGTGACTCTAGCAGTCTTGAAAGCCGTGGGAAAGCATCCTGAAACAAGAGATGTGTTCATGAGGTGGGTGAGAAAAGGAAGGAGTTCAGTCGCAATAGACTGAAGAAGAGGGGAGGGGATCGGGTCAAGGGAGCACGTGGTGGGGCGGTTAGATGTAACAAGGTTGAGGACCTCGTTAGGGGAGAGGGGAGCAAGATAGGGTAAGATGGGGCATGGAGAGGGGAGGGAGAGCTGTGGGGGAAGAGCTGGAGATAGTAGAGAGGGAGAGAGTGGACAGGGGGGCTGAGAGAAGGAGGACCTGATATCGTTTACCTTCTTGTCAAAGAAGTTGGCGAAATCGTCAGGGAGAAGGGAGGAAGTAGGAGGGGGTGGGGGTTGGAGGAGTGAAGAGAAAGTTTCGAAGAGTTTTTTAGGATTGGAAGCAGAGGTTAGGATTTTGGAGCGAAAGAAAGCAGCTTTAGCAGTAGATAGAGAGGAGGAAAAAGTGGAAAGAAGAGCTTGGAAGTTAAGAAAGTCCCCCGGGAGTTTGCCTTTTCTCCATTTACGCTCAGCCTCTCTTAGGCTCCGTCTGTCAGTACGCACTGAGTCCGACAGCCATGGGGCAGGTGGGGTTGGCCGTGCAGGCCTGGAGGTGAAGGGGTAGAGATTGTCCGAAGAAGAGGAAAGGGTGGAGAGGAGAAGATCAGTAGCAGCATCAGGGGATAGGAGAGAGTAGGATTCAGGGTCAGGGAGGGCAGAGGTAACAGAAGAGGAAAGATCAGCGGGGAGAGGGATCGAAGATGACTACGGGTAGAAACCATGTGGGTAGATGGAGGAAGTACGGGGGGAGAGTAGAGGGAGAGGGAGTAAGATATGAAATAGTGGTCAGAGAGCTGGAGGGGAGTGACTGAGAGGTTAGCAGTAGAACAGTGTCTAGTGAAGATAAGATCCAGCTGGTTGCCAGCCTTGTGGGTAGGAGGAGAAGAGGAGTGGTAAAGGTCAAAAGAGGAGAGGAAGGAAAGAAGCGGTTCTAATTTATCAGTCTGGATGTTAAAGTCTCCGAGCAGGATGAGTGCGGAGCCATCATCATGGAAGTGTGAGACTAATGTGTCGAGATCTTCCAAGAACTCACCAAGAGGGCCTGGTGGGCGATACACAACAGCAATGGTGAGCTTGACTGGATAAGTGACAGTAACCGCATGAAATTCGAAAGAGGACGGGGAGAACAGAGGAACCGAGACAAGAGTGTATTTCCATTTTGGGGAAATTAGCAAGCCAGTACCACCACCCCGCCTCGCAGCTCTGGGAGTGTGAGAGAAAGAGTACACTTCTGACAGAGCTGCAGGTGTGGTGGTATTTTCTGGCGTGATTCAGGTCTCAGTTAGAGCAAGAAAGCTGAGAGAGAGCAAGGAAGCGTAGCCCGAGATAAACTCAGCTTTCGGCACTGCCGACTGGCAATTCCAGAGCCCCCCCGGTACCACTTGCTCAACATGAGCTGAGAGAGTAGGATAAATGAGGTTAGCGGGGTCACGGCACCTGGGAGTGGCCCAATGTCTACGTGACCTCCGAGCAGAAGAGAGGACCGAAATTGGATGCAAACACATGGTTTGAACAATAAAAATGAGGTAACTACACGTTCGAGAAGTCTTAGCTTGCCGAAGTCGGGCTTGAAAAAGTCGCCTTGTTGCCTTTGTTTGCCCTAGCCTGACGCTTGAAAGCTGACGCTTCCAGCCTACAGAAGTGCTTAAGGACAGCAATCTACTGATTGTCTGCCAGGAGTGTAGGCTCCTCCCTTGCAATTACCAAAGCTATTCAGCAGCTGAGACTAAATCACACCTCCTCAGACAGGCAGAAACTCAGTCCAATCACCACTGAGGCAAGCCTAAGTACAGCTATAAAGACAACTTAGTTATTCACAATCTGTGATTGAAATATAAAGAAGTTAGGCTTCTTCTGACACTTAATAACAGCTGACCTAGTTGTATACATCATGTATTCAAGAAGCAAACATACATGAAAGAGTGAGCATGTGTTGATCACGAGGCAGTAAATGAAGAGAATTGAAAAATAAAGAGAAATTTAGCATTACAAATCTGCTGTTGCAAATGACTTGTATATTTACATTTCCGGTTGTATTATGATAAATAACTGCCTTTTTTTGCAGTGCAGACTGACAAATGTTCGCAACAGCAAAGGTGTTAACATGTTTCGTCTTTTTATTCAGTCATTGCAACAGTGACAAAGAAAAAAAGACAAAAGAAGTACATGAGGTTGATTCCACTGCTGTATGTGTGAAAGTGACTCAACACTGATTGCAGAGCAGTTTTAATGAGACGGTTTTATTCATCAGCTCCAAGTAATTTAAATGAAGCGATTAGGATTTACATTTTACACACACGCACGCACGCACGCACGCACGCACGCACACACGCACTGGTTTCAGTTGGTTTATAGATTATATAGTCAGCCTCTTAGCGACATCTGCTGGTTGAGAGGAGAACATACAACAATCTGATGAATCAAAACACTGACTTTCTGCAAACATTATACACTCACTTCATTAGAACACAGACAGATAAGACGTATGCTGTCATATCTAATGTGTGGGATGTGAATGGAACTTCTTGATTTGGGAAAGTTGCACCGAACACAACACTTGGGATTCAAAGCACAACGGGGCAATAGTGGCATCTTCTGATTGGTCCATTTTGTCGTGACTGCAGCCACTGAAGTCTTTTGGTTGTCTGAACTATTACTGAGGGCCATGCAGAGTTATCTCATCCCTGATGTTTGTCTCTCACTCCCAATGCTTTCCACAGATCGTACATTTTAGGTGCAATCTCTGCTGCAACCAAAGGTCCCATTGTCAATGACAAATAACTCTATATATGTGCAGTAGCAATTTCTATATGTTAATATCCACTAAATAGGAACACTCTTAAAACACATCCTGCATGAAGACCAACCCACAGCCCTTTCTCTGATATGCACAAGGTATTTGGCACAAAATCAAAGGCCTGTCTTTGTAAATATTCCTCTCAGTCTCCTTACAAATTCATTCTTAATTCTGTTTTTGTTAGTGTTTGCTCCGCCGGTCTACAAGAAGTCCGTCTCCTTCAAAGTGGACTGTTGAGCCGAAGATGGGACACCAGCGCTGTGTCTCCTCTCTTGTCACACAGAGGACAGGACCTCGCCCGACACCTCCTTCGCCCTCTTCCTTTCATTCCGCTCAGCCCTCTCCACATCCATGACGGTGAAGAGGGGCTCCTGGGCTGTGACCGAGTCGTTCCGGTGTTTGGTGGCAGTGAAAGGTGTCTTGATGAAGGCCTCGGAGTAATGTCTCTTCAGCTCTGGGTCTGGACAGAACAGGTAATGATACAGGGCTGCGGCCAGAGTCCCGCCCAGAGTTGGACCTACCCAGTACACCTAACACACAGACGCACGCACACGCACACGCACGCACACACGCACGCACACAGGGGAGAAACAGAACATTACATCAAGACTTGAAGACAAACTGTGGTTTCATAGTTTTCATAGTAAAAATCTTTTGCCATAAATTAACTATAGGTCATTTGTAGAAGGACAGCTTGAGTTATTAGTTTTTTAAATAAAGTATCATTATTATTTTGAAATGCCACTTGCAGAGAACACTGTCTAGTTTAACCATTTAAATGTTGAGTGCATTGAATTTTATTAACCAAACTAGCTGAATCCAAACAGAATAAAATATATACTTTAATATTTAATAATAAATCTTTTGCCAACATTTCTGTGGCCGTAATTACATATCCTTTGTTAAAAACAACCATATTTATTTTTACTTTTTTTGCGTGACTCACAACCCAAATGCAAACCTGATGAACCTGCATAGACAAAAGGTTGTGACACAAAGCTAGTATCTGTGTCTGTTTATGTCACATCTGAAGGGGGCGGGGCTTATACTGGAAGTTATTAGTCCTTGTTTGCTTTCATTTTCTGCATGAATTAGTTTTTTTCTGCTATTTATACTCCTCATAAATATATACATACAGATTCCAAAAGACAGAGGAACTGTTTAACTGAAGAAGACATGAGACAACAGCCAATCACATTCAACGACAATCTACCATGTGATAATCAGCTGAAGAGCGTTCTGTAACTCCCTGTAGTGTCGTTACAATGAGACCTTAGAAGTTGGATTGTAGTTTCTGTGCATGGAAAATAAACAATCTTTCCATAGCTATTGATGCTAACATCTATTTAACAGCACTGATCGATAATAAGAGCTAACAGAGTGTGTAGTTACCCAGTGGTTTTCCCAGCACCATGTGACCATGGCTGGGCCAAACGTGCGGGCAGGGTTCATACTGGCTCCAGTGAAGGGAATCTGAGGAATAAATCTCACATCATACCGTCTCATGATCACATAAGCACATATTTACGTTCGTAAATATATAGAGGGTTGCAACATCTCCACACTATGTTATTTGTAAGTGCCTTCCATGTCATCCAACAGGCACTTCCTGGTCTGACAGATGGATCAGCAAGATTACATCATGTGTCATTACAAACCACTGCTCACTGATCTAATAACGTTTCACTTCGCAATGGTTTAGAAGAAGAGGACAGTCACTCTATATTGTTCAACTGAAAGACTTGTTTTTTTATGGCAAACCCCAAAAAAAGGCAATCTGTCAACTTTTCAGCACAACATTTGAATACTGCTTCTGATTCATCATATTGGTCCAGTTCGATTGGAGAAATGAGTTTGGCCATCGTTTCATACATTTTTATTGACTCAAAGTCAAAGAGATATCTTTTAAAATGTGTCATATGTTTTCCAAACAGTAACTATTCACAGAAACTAAAGAAAGCCATGCAATAATGTAACAGTGATGCTGTTATCTGTACATTTATTTGGAATTATTTCTCTCAATGTTATTTAATTCACTTATAGTTATTTTGACAAAAGCTAATGTTCAGAAATCAAAATGTACAAGCAGAAAGCCCAGCTGTTCTGTGCGGACTGTCTGCATCAAATATTACACTTAATCTATAGCGGACTGCATTCATAAACAAGCTGTTTAAACACATTTCATTATTTTCCTCCTCTATTACCACATTAGTCTCATATTTCAGATCATTCTGTTCTTCTGGTATTTCAGTGCACAATTTTTAAATAACTTACAAAATATCAGAAGAGGCCCGAGATGCCGTCATACATGTGATTGCTGTGTGAGAGCAGAATCCATCTGACACTGAGCCCCGTTGTCTGTGCGGGTTATCATCTCTTTCTGTTCATCTGCTACAGTGCTGTGTACTTACGGCGAACAGGTGACCGACACACACAGAGAGGCCGATAGCCAGAGCAGACGAGCCCTTCAGGTCATTACGTTGGTGGTTACAGGTAGCGCACACAGTGAAGACCAGCTGGAAGGTGATGAAGAGTTCTACAACCAGCGCGTTTCCCACGGAGATGCTCCTATTTACCTGTAAATACCAAACATACAAATAAATACATCATCAGATATGAACACCCCTTTTACACATTGTATTAATCTCTGTATCTGGATATAATAGATGCAGAGGTTGAAGTTGATGTTGTAATAGTCATAAATGTCATGTGTTATGTTTAGTAATTGTTCAATTCAATTGTAAAGTTATATATACCTGTTGCATTTTATTAGTTTCGGAACTTTTTTTGTCTATAGTTCATCTATTTATACAACTCTTTATTATATTATATTCCTTTATCAGCTACATTTCAACAACAACACCATCTTTATTCATTTATCATTGAGGTCAGGTTAACAGACTTTGCCGGTGTTTTGCATGGCAAGTGTTTGCTTAGAACTAATTCCATTAATAGTTCAGTCAAATAATTTGGGAAAAACCAGACCGGTTGAGGAGACTGAGATGTTTTTGGGAGGGGGGCTTAAAGAGACAGGTGCTAAAATGGAGCGAGGGTGAGTACAGGTTTATTCAGACAGACGGTATGATGAACAATAAAGAGTTTTTTGAACATTACAGCATGTAAACATGTTCTAGTAGAAATCCAACATACAAGTATGAACCTGAAAAGGAGCAGGGTATATCCCCTTTAACTGGAGAAATATTATGATGTTATGATAAGTAGGATAGTAAATATCTGCTGTCAGAGAGGAATGACTGCGGTGCCAACATTACTGTGAAATAACAGTGAACTGCTGGTAATGACTTGAAAAGAAGACGAACTGTGGTGACCCCCATGCCACCCCTGACAGAGGCCGGGGTGATGCCGTACAGAATGGCGGCCCCCACTATGGCTCCCACACACTGGGCCAGCAGGTAGAAGACGCCTTTAGTCAGACTGAGCTTCCTGGTCACCACCATGGCTGCCGTGACTGCAGGGTTGACGTGAGCGCCGCTGATGCGGCTGAAGCACTGCACCATGGTGGCAATGCTCAGGCCGAAGCAGAGCGAGATGCGCACCAGGTCAGCGGGACGGGGATCCTTCTCGACGGCCCCCCAGTTGATGGTTGAGCCGAGGCTGAGCAGGACAAAGAGCAGCATGGCGAAGAACTCGGCCCCCACGCAGCGCCAGAACTCCTGAGTCCAGATGCCCTTGAAGGCAGACATGGCTTTGTCTCGAGAGCAGCAAGATGGAGGCCATAAGTGACAGTGTGGTATACGGCAGGGGAAGCAACACCTCCTGGAAGAGAGGACAAGAGAGACAACCATCAATAGAGGATAAAAGAAGGTACTGGGGCTTAACCCCCTAAATGGAAAAATAGCGATAATCAGAACACATAAAGTCACAAATAAGCAATGAGTTTGGTACATACTGTACATACAAACATATGAGCCTATCACTTGTTATATTGGATCACAGAACAGATTAGAAAAGAGCCTTCTTCAAAATGTATCTGTTTTGATGTGAGCCAAACAAGTGAGATGCTAGTATTTGAATCCAGCTCTGAACATATTCAAATAAGCTGATTGACCTATATTCTCATTTATTTAAATAGTTTGCCACTATCACACCATTGTAATATCACAACAGTGCAAAAGGTTTATAAGTTTACAACAAGACACAGGAACATCACCAGAGCACATGGTTTCATTATAGTGTATATAGATTATAGTGTATATAGATTATAGCGTATTATAGTGTATATAGATTATAGTGTATGTAGATTACAGTATATATAGATTATAGCGTATTATAGTGTATATAGATTATAGTGTATGTAGATTATAGTGAATTATAGTGTATATAGATTAGTGTATATAGATTATAGCGTATTATAGTGTATATAGATTATAGTGTATGTAGATTATAGTGTATATAGATTATAGCATATTATAGTGTATATAGATTATAGTGTATATAGATTATAGCGTATTATAGTGTATACAGATTAGTGTATATAGATTATAGTGTATTATAGTGTATATAGATTATAGTGTATATAGATTATAGTGTATTATTGTCACGATCAGGCTTTGCCCTGTGTGTTCTGTGTCTTTGTTTCTTTCTGTAGCTCCTCACTCTCCTAATCAGTTCATTCAGTGCACCTGCCAGTCACACTCAGCTCATCAGCTCATTACTCTCACCTGCTCACTCTGCCTCCTTCACTATTTAAACCCCTGCCGCACACACACCCACTGCCAGATCATTGTTTGTTTTCCTCCCTACCCGCCCGTTTTGCTCGTCCTGTTCCCGGTTTTCCAGTCTGCCTGTTCTGCCTTTTCCTGCCGGATTTTCCCCCTCGTCTTTTGTCTTGTCCCTGGATTCCCTGTTTGTTTTTGGTTATCATTAAAACCTTTTTTCACTACACCTGACTGTCTGCGTTTGAGTCCTCATCATGCCCCGTGACAGAATGATTTGGCCAAAGATGGACTCAGCAGACCACGGTATGGAGTGTCGTCTCCCTGACTGGTACAAACAGTTCATGGGAACCCGTCTGGCCTTTGGAGAACCTTGGAGTGTCCAGAAGGCAGACCGTGATCTAATGGACATCCCGGTCAAACCTCGAAGGAGGCAGAGGAAGGGCCAGACTCCCTCTCCCGCTGGGCCGCAGTTATCCCCCGCTCCCGCTGTGCCGCAGCCGACTCCAGCTCCCCGTGTCAGGTCGGCGGTTCGACCGACTCCAGCTCCCTGTGTCCGGTCGGCGATCCAGCCGACTCCAGCTGTCGCCTCGGAGCAGCAGCGACCTCCGGACCCGGCCGCCGCCGTCTCCGAACCGCAGCGACCTCCGGACCCGGCCGCCGCCGTCTCCGAACCGCAGCGACCTCCGGACCCGGCCTCCGCCGTCTCCGAACCGCAGCGACCTCCGGACCCGGCCTCCGCCGTCTCCGAACCGCAGCGACCTCCGGACCCGGCCGCCGCCGTCTCCGAACCGCAGCGACCTCCAGTCCCGGCTGCTGCCGTCTCCGCGCTGCAACGACCTCCAGCCCTTTACCCCGCTGGGTCATCAGTCTATCCCCCTGAGCCCCAGTCTATGGACTCCGGTTGCCCAGAGCCCCATCTCCGAGAGTCGGCGACCTGTTCCCCGTCTGATCTCCAGCCCCTGGAGACCTGTTCCCCGTCTGATCTCCAGCCCCTGGAGACCTGTTCCCCGTCTGATCTCCAGCCCCTGGAGCCCAGTTTCCCCCGTCTGGTCCCCAGCCTCTAGAGCCCAGTTTCCCCCGTCTGGTCCCCAGCCTCTAGAGCCCAGTTTCCCCCGTCCGGTCCCCAGTCTCTAGAGCCCAGTTTCCCCCGTCCGGTCCCCAGTCTCTAGAGCCCAGTTTCCCCCGTCCGGTCCCCAGTCTCTAGAGTGCCGTCTCTCGAGTGCCGTCTCCCTGATCTCCAGGTTCCAGAGCCCTGTCCTCCGGACCCTCAGTCTCCCTTAGCTCCAGAGCTCCGTCCTCCAGACCCCCTCCACCCACCCGGTTGTGGAATCTGACTCTCGGCCTCGGAGGAGTTATCATTAAAACCTTTTTTCACTACACCCGACTGTCTGCGTTTGAGTCCTCATCATGCCCCGTGACAATTGGCGTATGTAGATTATAGCGTATGTAGATTATAGTGTTGTGAGGACCCCTCCCTTCCACCAGGGGTCTTTGTCCTGTTTCCAGGTTGTCTTTCAGGATGGTAATCTGCTGCTGATGAGCCACACTTGAGCCTGCTGGAAGTCTCAGCTATAAAGGCTGCGCCTCTTGTTTGGACGACCTGGCTGTTTGTTTGTTTAGTTTAGGTCTGTTAGTTGGTTAATTAAATAAATGTCTATTTATTACTTTTAACTCGTCTTGTCTCCCTCATGTTGCGGCCTTTTGAGCCGGGTCGTGACATATGGGGGCTTGTCTATTACTGGTTGACCCGGTGTCTGCATTCACTTCAAATCAGTAGCAGCTGTAACCTGGTAGGCAGGTGCACCTCGTTTAAGTGAGTGAGATGTGCAATCTGATTGTTTGGGAGACATGGATGAGTTTAGTGAGTAGGCTGTTTTCCTGTTTGGTTATTGTAGCAGCTGTAGTGATCAGTGTTCCTGAGGAGCGTTTGTGTCACTGAGCATGGGTTATGCTGGTGGTTTTTGCGGAACAGTTTAGGTGGTCCTGTATACACGGTGAGTAAATTGCTGCTGTTCTGTCCCTGTTAGGCTGAAGAGCGGACTCCCTTTGGAGGTCATTGGGGGGGGGGTGTGAAAGTGGTTAGAGCAGTTGTCTCGGGGGCACGTCCGAGGCTGCAGGTGGGTGGCCAGTTCCTGGTTGCTTTACTGGCCCTGCGGGTTTTAGTGCGTAAGTACCCACCACAAGTAGCACCTGAAGACTAGGGGGGAGCTTACTTAGTCTCTGGATAGGCAGTCAGAGGGACATGGAGGCAGTGATGTCAGCTGTGTAAGGGCTGCTCTTGCTGGGGTGTTAAATTCTGTTCCTGGTTTTATTGAGGGAAACTAGTTTCTGGTGTTTCCTGCTAACTGCATGTTTTGTATTCTGGTGATCATGGTCATGTTCTGGACTCTGTAACAAGAGCATTGCACAGCCTGTTGGGTGTCTGGGTATTGGACCCAGTTACCTTGCAGGTGGAGCCTGAAAACTGCTGCTGCACAGTGTGCAGTAGGTATTCATGGTTCATAGGGTAAGCAAGTGGGTAATAAAAGGAGGGATGTGGTGAACAGATTTTTGTGTTGGTGCGGTAACAGGCAAGTTGGTAACGTGGCCTGTTACCTTCAGGAACATAAGCGCTACAGCTCATGCCTTGATTGGGTGTGCTGAGTTGTATTTGGGTTGCCTCTTTGCGCGTCTGTCAGAGGAACCTTTAGGCTACTACAGCGTAGTGCTTATGGTAGTTTAGTTTGGTGCTTTCTGTTAGCTGGCAATTATGACAATTCCAGTTCTGGGTGTTCACCACTCGTTCATGCAGCAGCTCATTGCATGAACTGGCCCTCGCAGGAAGCCCTGCTTCCCCCCCATGTGCAGTACCATATCACTGTGTAATCTCTCTGGCCTTCCTTCCTTATCCACTCTCACTCTTAGATGCTTCTCCACATGTTGGAGTTGCTGGGTTGCAGAGTGGAGATTGGCTGGGGGGATGCACTTTTAATCTGGAATATGAAATCTGTAAATTTTGAATCTGTATGCAGTTTGTTGGTGTTCCTGGTGGGAACACTGTTTTTATGGAGGGGGGTGTGACGACCCCTCCCTTCCACCAGGGGTCTGTGTCCTGTTTCCAGGTTGTCTTTCAGGATGGTAATCTGATGCTGATGAGCCACACCTGAGCCTGCTGGAAGTCTCAGCTATAAAGGCTGCACCTCTTCTTTGCCTCTGGGTGCGCATCTCCTCTCTGCCTCCTGTTTGGACGACCTGGCTGTTTGTTTAGTTTAGGTCTGTTAGTTGGTTCATTAAATCAATGTCTATTTCTTTTAACTCGTCTTGTCTCCCTCATGTTGCGGCCTTTTGAGCCGGGTTGTGACAGTGTATATAGATTAGTGGGTATATAGATTATAGTGGTTTCTTTGTCCCTTTGATTCAACTTGGAACAATGTTATACCATCAAAAGTCCAACAATGTCACTACAATAACCGTGTGGGCCCCTTTTTTCACGTTTGTAGCGCATGTATGGGAGCACAAACACAATGCTGGCCAAACTTTTGGTTTATTACCACACACTTTTTTTGCACGTGTATCATGTTTATCTTTCAGAATCATTTATTAATCAATGTACTTCATTCTCTATGTAAATAAGACTAATGATACGTATTAAGTCATAGCAGCAGCAGAGGTCCTAGTGGTAGTAGTAGCAAGAGTAATAACGGCAGTAGTAAACGTAGTACAGTATCAATTCAATCAATGATTCCTCAGGAATGTTTGTGCTTAAATCTACAGCAACTCGGGGTCATTTATTACAAATAAATACACCTGAAGTCTTCACATCAATGGCATCAACATGAGAAAAGGCCTGAGCCTTTTAGTGGATCACAATAAACAAAACTATACTGCAGCTCCACATCTGCAAACTACACAGAAATCTATTTGATGGGATTCGAACATTCTTCATTTTAAACCGAATTATTCTTCCTGAATTGTTGCCAGTAGCCTATAATAGCTGTGATAACAGCAGCAGCGTTATGATAGTAGCAGTGACTGGTGACTAGTTTACGATCAGTGGTTCTCTGTTTTGGATTTTCCTGGCTGCGTAAAGTCCAACACCACGCTGATTATTGACTGCGGTCATGTGGTCCGTCATCCGCAGAACCTCGCTCACGTCAGCCGGCACTTGAAATGTAATGCTCGTCTATCCGAGGTGCTACGGTACGGGTGCTTGATAGCCCAAAAAGCCCCGAAATAGACCTATATTTCATCAATAATTTGTCCAATTTGATATAACAAGTCAAAAACGTCATTTTGTACATTAAGTGAAATATAACAATAATAAAATCTGAAATTACACTGCAGTATATTCTTTAATTGAAAAAGGGCTGGAAAATTATAATATTACCTAATCATCTTTGATGTCTAAAAAAAACATTTCCTTCATTGGTTGGCTAAAATTTCC